TATGAATGCAAAACATTATCTGTTTCCCACTACTAATTTGATTGACAGCTTAGTGATAAAGCATCTGTTTTGCATACAAAAAAAATATGTTCAGTCCCTGTCATCTCCAATTAAAGGATCAGGTAGCAGAAAACAGGAGTGATCGCAGGCTGTTGAGAGGCTGGAGATGACACTGCTAAGGACAGGTGAATCTGACATGTCAGTTTCAAGCAGTTTCTCACTTTTTTCATCTTGAAATCTGATTTGTTTTACATTTACAGCAGTAGGTGTTTTTTAAAGACTTCACTCACAAATCTGTCATGCAATTTCTCCTAACATAGAGCCAATCTGATGTAGTGGTTAAAGTACTAGCCTAGAAACCAGGAGACTGTGAGTTCTAGTTCCACCTTAGCCATAAAAACTGGCTGGGTGACTTTATGAAGTCACTCTTTCAGCCCAACTCACAACGTTGTGTGGGCAAAAAAGGAGGAGGGAGGAGTATTAGCTAGGTTCACTGCCTTGAGTAATTTACAAAGCAATAAAGCTGGGATAAAACATATTTAAACAGAGAGGGGGGGAGGGAGAGAGAGAGAGAGAGGGAGAGAGAGAGAGAGAGAGAGAGAGACAGAGAGACAGAGAGACAGAGAGACAGAGAGACAGAGAGACAGAGAGAGAGAGAGAGAGAATAACAGAGTTGGAAGGGACATTGGAGATTTTCTAGTCAAACTCATCACGTTGCCATCACATTTCATGGTGTTTTCCCTATTTGCAGAGCTGGGGTGGGCACAGCCTGCACTTGACACATCTGGCCCGCAGGCCCCCAGTTTGACACTCCTGTATCTAGTCCAATCTCCCTGCCCAAGCAGGAAATCCCATATCATTTCAGACAAATGGTGGTTCGGTCTCTTCTTAGAAACATCCAATGTTGGAGCACTCACAACCTCTGGAGGCAAGTCATTCCACTGATTAATTGTTCTCACTGACAGAAAATTTCTCCATAGCTCTAGGTTGATTAGTTTACATCCATGGCTTCTTGTCCTTCTGCAGGTGCTTTGGAGAATAGTTGACCCCCTCTTCTTTGTGGCAGCCTCTTGGATATTGGAACACATACAGACACACACACACCTAGATATATAAGCTTTGGAATTGAGTTTTTTGCTCAGAAAATTACTCTGTGAAGTTCAGTAAATTATAGACACCTTTCACAATGACACAAGGATAGTTGTATTTCAGTTTTTGTAGTGACTTACAAAGTGCAGATTACAGCATTGTTAATAAAGTATGTTTTGGATATGTTTAATTTAACTACAGCCACCCTCAGCCTGAAAGCCTTGCATATAGTCTAAAAGGCACTTCAAAAGATGCCAAAGAGCTGTAATTTTTAATGTGGAAGAAGGAGAAAATTCAATGGAGAACAATCACATTAATTGCATTCAATTAACGTAGTTAAAATGTTAATGACACTAAGATTAAATCAAATTTGGAGGTTTTTTTCCCTCTTTAATCCTGGGTTTCCTTTTCTTTTCCTCAAGAGCAAACCATTCTCTTTTAAAATTGGAATCTGAAATAGACCCACTTTGCAAGGCAAAGAAAAATAGATCTTTTGTAATGCTTTAATTTTGTATTTTCCTTTTTGAGGCTAAACATGTTTGAGGTTTCAAGCAATTCTGAATCAACAGGGGCAGGAGGAAAGAACTTTGACTAACTTGTTGCAGAAATCAGTGCCATGTCAGACAAATAAAAAATAATAAATAAAAATATGCAAATAAAATAGCGATCTATACATCTACAAGTGGGTTGCAAATCCCGGCACTATTGGTTTACTCATGCTTGCATGCACGCTCATGCGTGATGCAGAAGCATCCAGGTGGGTGGGCGGAGCCTCCTGCTGCTGCCACTACTGCTTCGCCCAATCCAGGCCAAACTGGGAGAAATCCACCTCTGATCTACAAATCAACTTATTTCAGGATCATGAATCCAGATCAGACATCACAGAAAACAAGCTTCTGTGTATTCTGCATTTTAATGGAGGTGACATTTCTCTAGAATTTAGTGTTTCCCAACCTTGGCAACTTGAAGATGTCCGGACTTAAACTCCCAGAATTCTCCAGCCAGCGAATACTGGCTGGGGAATTCTGGGAGTTGAAGTCCAGACATCTTCAAGTTGCCAAGGTTGAGAAAGACTGCTCTAGATAGCAAGAAAAGCATTGCTATATTTGAAGGAAATTCTTGCAACCAGTCTCTCCCACATTAGGCAGGGCCATTTCCTTTGGCTGGGTTTTAAAAATCCAGCTAGATCTATGAGGCTCTTTGCCAGATGAAATAGACAGAGCAACTTATATACAAATGCCTAGATTTTTTCAAGAAATAGGAACCACTGGCTTTGTTTAAATGGCTTTTAAAATATCCACTGAGCATTTAGTGTCTCTTCCTCTTTCTGGCTTTGTTGTTGCTGTTGGTTGCAAAGTCATGTCCGACCCATTAAGACCCCATGGATAACGTTCCTCCAGGCCTTCCTGTCCTCTACCATCCTCTGGAATCCATTTAAGCTCATGCCTACTGCTTCAGTGACTCCATCCAGCCACCTCATTCTCTGTCCTTCCTTTCTTCTTTTGCCCTCAATCGTTCCCAGCATTAGGCTCTTCTCCCGTGAGTCCTTCCTTCTCATTAAGTGGCCAAAGTATTTAAGTTTCATCTTCATGATCTGGCCTTCTAAAGAACAGTCAGGGTTGATCTCCTATAGGACTCACCGGTTTGATCGCCTTGCAGTCCAAGGGACTCACAGGAGTCATCTCCAGCACCATAGTTCAAAGGCCTCAATTCTTTGGTGCTCAGTTTTTCTTATGGTCCAACTTTCACAGTCATACATTGCAACTGGGAAAGCCTTGACTACACACACGTTTGTTGGCAGGGTGATGTCTCTGCTTTTTAGTATGCTGTCTAGCTTTAGTACTTGCTAAAATAAAAAGGGATTCTTTCATAGCGAAACATATCAGAAAATGTAACTCCGATGTATAAATTTATCCTAAAATGTATAAATGTTTCTGTTCAGAAAGATACATTTTAGAAATTTTTTCTTCCCTGAGTATTTTTTAAAAAAACTGACACTATATTACTTTGAAGAGAAAACACAAATCTTTTTAGCCCTAAGATAGGATAGAGAGGATAGGATAGGATAGGATAGCATAGGATAGCATAGGATAGCATAGCATAGCATAGAATAGAATAGAATAGAATAGCAGAGTTGGAAGGGACCTTGGAGGTCTTCTAATCCAACCCCCTGCTTAGGCAGGAAACCCTATACTAATGATGGCAAATGTTTATCTGCTCGGGTGCCAAAAGGGCATGTGTGCACGATAGCGTATGTGTGCATCCCCACACCCATAATGCAATGCCTTACCTCCCACGCATGTCTCTGGACTTCCAGTAGGCCCGTTGGGCCATTTTTTGCCCTCCCCAGGCTTCAGAAGGCTTTCCATATGCCATAGGTTCGCCATCACGGCCCTATACCATTTCACACAAATGGTTATCCAATCTCTTCTTCAAAACTTCCAACTTTGGAACATATACTACTTCTGGGGGCAAGTTGTTCCACTGATTAATTGTTCTAACTGTCAGGAAATAACTATAAAGTGTGTGTTTTGGTAATTACGGTTTGTCATTCCACATAAGACTTATTGGCAAACACCTAGGGTCTCTCATTTTGTCTAGTGGCCCCAGTGTGGGTTAAAAAAGAGGAACCTTATTTTGTATACAGATTTTTCATCACGCCATCTTATTTGCAAATCCCAATTTGTGAACTCTGATATTTTTTTCCGCATTATATCATTTGTTTTAATGATAAGCACAGCAACTGGGTACTTTCCTGTGCATTTAACTTAAACTATCTTAATGGAAATGGTAAAAAATGAACATCCCAGCAAGATTTTAGCATCTAGTGCTATATATCTTTTGTGTGTGTGTGCAAAATTGGATTGTTGATTTGGAGACTGTAAATGTGTCAGACAATAATTACTTCGCAGGTAGCAGGCTACCCAATGTTCTCATTTCATTCTGTGACACAGTGATAACTTTTAATGCTGCTTAATGATCACAAACAGGCTGAATGGCTTGTTGACACCTGGCTTATGCTGAAAGGGTTGGCAGGGAGAAAAAAAAATGCCCACCCAGAATAAAAGTGAAAATTACTGAAACAACCAAATTTTCTCCCCCACCCCTCCAAACAGTATGGCAAAGAAAAACAGAGCTGACAATTATTAATACTTTTCTATGTGCTGAACGGGTACTTTTTCTGCATTAAAAAGTTCTGCAAACTGGGAAAATTCGAAAAGCCAAGGAATCATTTATTCAGGTCAGTTAGATATTTATATTTGCTGTAATAAATTTAAAGGTAGGAACCCCAAAATTCTTGCTGCCAAGCAGTCCAAGTAGAAAAAACGATCCTGCATTTTTATTTCTTAGCAGCTATTACTTGGTTTAATGGAAGAGAACTTGTTTGGCATTTCTTTAAAAGAGAAGACCCTTGTCAGATTAACAGAGTTGGAAGGGACCTTGTAGGTCATCTAGTCCTGTGTTTTTCAACCACTGTGCCACGGCACACTAGTGTGCCGTGACATAGTGTAAGGTGTGCCGTGGGAAAAACACCCGCCGGGTGTTTTTGCCTCGNTATAAATAAACTACAAACAAACAAACAAACAAAACAAACAACCGCCATAAATATGAGTCAATTTCCAATTTTGGTCACATGGCCATGGGGGATGCTGTTAATGGTTGTAAGTGTGAAAAGCGGTCATCAGTTGCCTTTTTTCAGTGATGTTGGAAACAGTCACTAAATGAAACGTTGTAGGTGGAGGACTATCTCTGCTGATTTTTAAGAGGCTTAAAAACTTGGACTCTCTGTGCTTCTGTAGAAGTCAACCGCACTTTCTTGGTTTTTTTTTCTTGGAAGACGTTTTGCTTCTCATCCAGGAAGCTTCTCAGTTCTATAATCTCAGTTCTTCCGTTCTAAAATGCGACAGGATTGCGACAGTCAAGACATATGTATTACCAAATTTTTTGTTTCTGTTTCAAACGGCACCAACTAAATTGGACAAATTTTTTTTTAAATCTTTGGAGACAATAGTGACACAGTTTATATGGCAAGGCAAGAAAACACGAATCAAAGCCCAAACATTGCAAAAACGTAGAGAACTGGGAGACTTCGGAGTACCCAACTGGGAAGCATACTATAACGCAGCAATCATGACATGGGTGAAAGATTGGGTGATGTTGAGTAGAAGGCGCCTATTGGCTATAGAGGGACATGACCTCCCCCAGGGATGGCATGCCTCCCTCTGGCAAGAAAGAGACACCCCCCATAGGTACTTCATGGGACATTATATTCGGAAGATTTTGATGGGGGTCTGGGAAAAGATCCAAGAAGCTTCTCAGTTCTATAATCTCAGTTCTTCCGTTCTAAAATTCTTCAGTTAGAACTGAAGAAGCTTCTTGGATGAGAAGCAAAATGTTTTCGGGGGGGGTGGGGGGAATCCAAGAAATTCCATTCGCCCTTTTCGAGATTGTTCTCGTTTCCCCCGTGGTTGGGATGCACCATCTCGGGGTTCTCCACCGTAACCCTCTGCCTGTTTTGCAGGATCTCTGCACACCGGGAGGAGTTCTCCGCCACCTGGGAGTGTTCCTGAAGAGCAACAGCAGATTGCCCGGCAGGGATCCTACACCAGCATCAACAGTGAAGGAGAATTTATCCCCGAGACCATGGACCCAAATGTAAGTTCCCTTGAAAAGCCCAAAAAGTGAATCAGATGCCAGAAGTCCTTCTTAACTCTGGGGTGGCAGAAGGGAAAAATGGGGTCTTGGTTGAGCCCCCTGGAGATCCTTGGGAATCTTCACAATTTAAAGGTCCTTTTGTTATATTCCTCTTGGTTAGCATAGCACCATGATGGCAAACTTATGGCACGCATGCCAGAGGGTAGCATGTAGCACCCTCTCTGATGGCCTGCGAGCCGTCGCTCCAGTTCAGCTCAGCGCCTCCCGCCAGGCAGCTGGTCTTCAAGTCTCTGCCACACATGCGCAGGGGGCATGTGAAGGGGGGGGGCGTGCATGCATACATGGGGGGATGCCTACGGGGCACATGGGTGACGGGCGTGGGGCATGTATGGGGGTGCACACTCCTGTGGGGGGGCAGGCTGCATGCACAGGGGGCCATACACGCATTGTATTTCGGAGGTTTCAGCGCATGTGCGCGCGCATTGGGCACTCAGTCTGAAAAATGTTAGGCATCCCTTGCGTAGCACGTGCTTAAATGGACGTCCGATTGGGGTGATTTCAAACCTGTTGTGAAACCCTTATTTCTCTTCTTCTGTTTTCTCCAAAAGTTGTTGGATCCATTTATCAGCCCAAACCACTCGCTTTCTAGCAGTTGTCAGTCCCTGGACCGATCTGTAGACAGGTAAGAACCTGAAAGTTTAACCGTTTCCATATCTTCTTTTTTTCTAAGACGCTGAGCTTGTCGATCAGAAAGGTCGGCAGTTCAGCGGTTCGAATCCCTAGCGCTGCGTAACGGAGGGAGCTCCCGTTACTTGTCCCACCTTCTGCCAACCTAGCAGTTCGAAAGCATGTAAGAAAAATGCAAGTAGAAAAATAGGGACCACCTTTGGTGGGAAGGTAACAGTGTTCCTTGAGCCTTCGGCATTTAGTCATGCTGGCCACGGAGAACATCTTCCGGCAGTGAGGGCTCTTTGGCTTTGAAATGGAAATGAGCACCGCCCCCTAGAGTTGGGAACAACTAGCACAGATGTGCGGGGAATGTTTACCTTCTTTCTTATTCCTTGAGGGCATCTTCAGAACAAGTTATTGTGGAAAGTCACAAGAGATTGGAGGGGAGGGTCTTTCTTAGGGGTGGTATATTGCCTTCAAAAATATCCCCCCCCCCCAAGTGAGTTCCTGTCTATTCGATTTCTCAAAGAAAGCTCTTTTTATTAAATGAATAATTATTAAGTACAAAGTATGAAGAACAACAGTTGGTCCTCAACTTACAACCGTGACTCTTGCTAAGCGAGACATTTGTGACTTCTTCAGTTCTAACCTCAGTTCTTCCGTTCTAAAATTCTTTGGTTAGAACTGAAGAAGCTTCTTGGATGAGAAGCAAAATGTTTTCAAGGGGAGAAAAAAAATCCAAGAAATTCCATTTGCCTTATGCAAAAATCACTTCTGTGATTTAAATTATCTGTTACACATCATGTCCCTGGTTGTGTTTATTAGTGCAAGATGCCTAACATTTTTATGTGAGGGAGAGGGTAAGCTTTGCTCATTTTAAAAAATCCATGTAGGACTTTAAAATGTTATGCATTGTTAAGATTTTTAGTCTGAGTTATGGAGGGGTACGAGTTTTCAGATAATGAATGAGCAATGTTGGCAGCTGTTCATCTCTCTCTACATCTAATTGGGTTTCTTTCCTGCAGTCCTGCTTTCAGCAAAACACCCGTTTCAAGGAGGAAAAGAGAAACCAAAGACAGCTTCGAGTCCTTGGGTAAGAATGCTGAGTTATTGTATTGTGTGAATATTGTATAAAATTATTGTATTATTATACAGTAATAAGTATTGTATAGCGCTTACTGTATAAGACAGTAGGGGTTGACTTCAACCCAGAAGTTTGTTTAGATAATACTTGACTTATGACTTATGGCAATTGGGGCCAGAATTTCCATTGCTAAGCAAGGCGATTGCTGAACTTTTTTTGCTACAGCTGTTAAGCGAATCACTGCAGTCGTTAAGTGAATCAAGCAGTTGCTAAGTGAATCCCGCTTCCCCCATTGACTTCGCTTGCTGGAAACCAGTTGCAAAGGTTGCAAACGGGGAATCACGTGACCCCAGGACGTTGCAACCTGAATTTGGATCTCATGACCATGGAGATGCTGCCATGGTCGTAAGTGTGAGGAGTGGTCGCAAGTCACTTTTCCAGTGCCCTAGTAACTTTGAACAGTCACTAAATGAATGGTTGTAAGTTGAGGTAACCAAAGTCTCACCAAAATCTTAGAAGGCTGAAAATGAGTGAAAATTGCCCTAAAGCAAGAATGTTAAAAAAAAAGTTATAGTTGAAAATTTAGAAGGATGCTCTGCCAGAGAAGGAGAATTATGGCTGCCCTCCCACGCTTCCCCCAGACAGTCCCAGAGATGGGGATCTTCCATGACCCGAATGCTTCATTATCTGACATTTTCCTTGCAGACTTGATTCTGGCTAATCACCCCGACTTCAAGGTTCTTTATCTAGCTGGTGGAACATTTGTTCAATGTTAATGTTATCATGACCTCTGTTATTAAAAAATGAATGCATGGCAAAGGGCCCAGGGAGGATTTTTAAAAAGGAGAAAGAGAGAGGTAAGGAAGGAAGGAGGGGGAAAAGGAAGTGAAAGAAAGAAAGAAAGAAAGAAAGAAAGAAAGAAAGAAAGAAAGAAAGAAAGAAAGAAAGAAAGAAAGAAAGAAAGAAAGAAAGAAAAGGAGACAGACAGACAGACGAAGGAAGGTAACAAAAGGAAGGAAGGAAGGAAAGGGGAGGGAGGAAAGAGAGAAAAAGAAAGAAAGAAAGAAAGAAAGGAGATAGAGAGATGATAGATAGATAGATAGATAGATAGATAGATAGATAGATAGATAGATAGATAGATAGATAGATAGATAGATAGATAGATAGANGTATTTGTATCTGTATGTTTTACGCTTAAAAAAAAAGTATAACTAATGAATGCCGATACAAAGGCTGCATATTTACTTTATATTGTTATGCATGATTTGTCTTTCTTATGTTGTTGTATTTTTCTTTCTGTTTTTTAAAGGTAATAATGTTTAATAAAAACTATATTTAAAAAAAAAAAGTCAACTTCTTCAACTTATTCACCCAAAGTCAGTCTACTTTTTGTTCTACGCGCTGCAGGAGTCCCGCTCACCTGTTTCGAAAATAATTCATCCAACCTACTGCAGGATTAGAACTCACCGTCTGCTGGTTATTGGCCCAAAGTCCCTCTGCCACCTAGCAGGAGTGTTCCAGGCGGAGAACTGCGCCTAGGGCCGGAAGAGAAGTCCCCATCTTTTAGTTACTTGCCCAAACTCATTCTACTTTCTGTTTTGCGCACTGCAGGAGTGGAACTCACCTTTTAGGGGAAGAGTTCATCAAACGTAGTGCAGAATTAGAACTCACCATCTCCTTGTGATAGTCCCAAAGAGCCTCATCCACATAGCATGAAGATTCCAGGAGGAGAATGGTCCATGCTTCATGCTGGAAGAGAAATCACCATCTTTTAGTTATGCAACCAAAGTCATTCACCTGTCTTTTGTGCTTCCTGTAGGACTGGAACTCACCTTTAGAGAAGATTTAATCAATCCTACTGAAGAATTAGAACTCACCACCTCCTTGTGATTGTCCCAAAGAGCCTCATCAATCTAGCAGGAGGATTCCAGGAGGAGAATGGACCATGCCTAAAGGAAGAAGAGAAGGCAGCATCTTTTAGTTATTCACCCAAAGTCATTCAACTTTCTATTCTGAAGGCTAAAGGAGTGGAACTCACCTTTCAGGAGAAGAATTCATTTAACCAACTGCAGAATTAGAACTCACTGTCCCCTGGATATTGGCCCAAAGTCCATCATTCACCTATCAGGAGGATTCCAGGAGGAAAATGGTCCATGCTTCATACTGGAAGAGAAGTCCCCATCTTTTAGTTATTGGCGCACTCATTCTACTTTTTGTTCTGCACACTGCAGGAGTGGAATTCACCTTTTAGGGAAAGAGTTCATCAAACGTAGTGCAGAATTAGAACTCACCGACTCCTTTTGATTGTCCCAAAGAGCCTCATCCACCTACCAGGGGGGTTCCAGGAGGAGAATGGTCCATGCCTAAAGCAAGAAAAGAAGTCCCCGTCTTTTAGTTATGCAACCAAAGTCATTCAATGGTCTTGTTGTGATTGCTGCAGGAGTGGAACTCACCTTTCAGGATAAGAATTCATGAAACCAACTGCTGAATTCGAACTCACCGTCCCCTGGATATTGGCCCAAAGTCCATCATTCACCTATCTTGAGGAATCAAGGAGGAGAGTCGTCCATGATAAATGCTGGAAGAGAAGTCACCGTCTTTAGTTATTGGCCCAACATCATTCAACTATCTATTGTGCTTCCTGCAGGAGTAGAACTCACCTTTTAGAGACAATTTAACCAATCCTACTGCAGGATTAGAACTCACAAACTCCTCATGATTGCCTAAAGTCCCTCATTCATCTACCATGAGGCTTCCAGGAGGAGAACCATGCCTAAGAAAGGATGAGAAGTCAACATCTTTAACTTATTCACCCATAGTCAGTCTACATTCTCTTGTGCTTCCTGCAGGAGTAGAACTCACCTTTTAGGGGAAGATGTCATCAATCCCACTGCAGGATTAGAACTCACCACCTCCTTGTGATTGTCCCAAAGAGCCTCATCCACCTAGCATGAAGATCCAGGAGGAGAATGGTCCATGCCTAAAGCAAGAAGAGAAGTCACCACCTTTTAGTTATGCAACCAAAGTCATTCAATTGTCTTGTGTGTGTTGAACTCACCTTTCAGGAGAGGAATTCATCAAACCCACTGCTGAATTTGAACTCACCGTCCCCTGGATATTGGCCCCAAAGTCCATCATCCACCCATCATGAGGATAGCAGGGGGAGAATGGTCCATGCCTAAAGCAAGAAGAGAAGTCCTCGTCTTATAGTTGTTGGCCCAACGTCATTCAACTATCTGTTGTGCTTCCTGCAGGACTGAAACTCACCTTTTAGGGGAAGAATTCATCAAACGTAGTGCAGTATTTGAACTCACCACCTCCTTGTGATTGTCCCAAAGAGCCTCATCCACCTTTCATGAGCATTCCAGGAGGAGAATGGTCCATGCCTAGAGCAAGAAGAGAAGTCGCCATCTTTTAGTTATGCAACCAAAGTCATTCAATTGTCTTGTGATTGCTGCAGGAGTGGAACTCACCTTTCAGGAGAAGAATTCATCAAACCAATTGTTGAATTTGAACTCACCGTCCCCTGAATATTGGGCCAAAGTCTCTCAGCCATCTACCATGAGGATTCCAGGAGGAGAACCATGCCTAAGAAAGGATGAGAAGTCAACATCTTTAACTTATTAATCAAAAGTCAGTCTACTCTCTGGTCTGCGCACTGCAGGAATAGAAATCACCTTTTAGGGGAAGATGTCATCAATCCCACTGCAGGATTAGAACTCACTATCTCCTTCTGATTGACCCAAAGAGCCTCATCCACCTAGCATGAGGATTCCCCACCTAGCA